GTTAAACAAGACAGAAAATAAAAACTGCTGACAAAGTTGTGGAGAGATGAGGACTCTCATACACTGCTGATGGGACTGTCAAATGATAGAACCACTATGGAAATTGGTATGACGATGTCTTAAAAAGTTGGAAATAGAAATACCATTTGATCCAGCAATCCCATTACTCGGTACATATTCTAAAGAAGTGAGAGGCAGGACATGAACAGATATATGCACACCCATGTTCATTGCAGCATTATTCACAATAGCAAAGAGATGGAAACAACCTAAGTGCCCTTCACCTGAGGAATGGATAAAGAAACTGTGGTACATACACACAAAGGAATACTATGCAATCCTAAAGAACAAGGTAGAATCTGCAAAACACTGCATAACAAGAATGAATTTGGAGGACATTATGCTGAGTGAAAGGCGACGGCATATAACAACAACAACAACATGCTGAGTGAAATAAGTCAATCACAAAAGGACAAATACTGTATTAGTCCACTATTGTAAAAAGTCAAGGAGAGGTTTATACATAGAAGGAAACTTTCTTTGTTGGTTACCAGGGATGGGATGATGGGATGGGAGGGGAGGAGAGGAGAGGAAAAATTCCTAGATAGGTTGGGGGGATATATATACACACACACACACACACACACAGAGAGAGATGGACCAAAGATTAGTAGTGGCTACCAGGAGTAGGAAGGAGGGGAGAAAGGGGAAGCTTTTGTTTGCAGGGTGTTGAGTTTATGCTAATGGTGGTGGAATATTTTGGAAAAGGATACCAGTAATGGTGACACAACATGAAAAATGTCATCAATGTCCCTGAGCTGTAAATGTGGATGTTATCATGTTGGTGAATGTATTGTTGTGTATGCTTTCAACAAAATAAAAGTAAAACATAAAAATTAAAAAAGGCTTTGCGCCTTGTCTTTCATTGAAGTAAGGATAATAAGAACTGTATGCACCTGTCTCAACTTAATTACAAATTCTTAGACATAGGAACGATCTTCCTTGAAACCCTGAGACTGCCTGTATATGTGAAAAGGAGATATGTTCAGGAATGTTCTTTGCAGCTTTTTTTTTTTCTTCCAATTTTTATTGTGATTTGGGTGAAAGTTTACAGATAAAATTCATTTTCCATACAGTAGCTCACATACACTTTTTCTCACGCCATTGACTGCAATTTCCCACACTGCAACAGCTCTCTTCCCATTCCTCCCCATAGTTGCCTCTTCCCTGTGTTCCTCCTTCACTCCCATGCACTCCTGCCCCTCCCACCAGCTGTCTCCCTGTACATACACAGCCCTTCTATTCTCCCATGATTGATCTTATAGCATGGTTTTTAAGACCTAATAAGCAACTCAAATGTCCATCATCAAATATCTATCAGGTTAAATCATTGGATATATACATATAATGGAATATTGTGGAACACAGTGAAAAAAAATGATGGAGCTATGTAGATTAAAGGTGCTCTGGTAGCCTAATGGTTAAGCACTCTGCTGTTAGCTGAAAGGTTGGCACTTAAGAACCCACCAGCCTCTTCATGGAAGAAAGATGTGGCAATAGGCTTCTGTAAAGATTATAGCCTTGGAAACCCAATGGGACAGTTTTACTCTTTCCTACTAGGAGCTCTGTGGTGTAGTGCCCAAGGCATTGACTCCTAACCAGAAGGCTGGTGGTTCAAACCCACTGGCCACTCCTCGGAAGGAAGGTTGGGCAATTTACTTCTGTAGCGATACCACCTCAGAAACCCAAGGAGGGGTCGCTATGAATTGGATCTGACTCAATGGCAGTGAGAGTTACAGGGTCACTCTGAATTGGAATCAACTTCAGGGCACACAACAAGATAGGATTAATCTCAGAAATGGTGTTAAGTGGAAAAAGCAAATTGCAGCAGAGGATGCAAGTTACAGTATGATGCTAAACGAATAGTTTCATGAATAAGAATCAGCACAAAGCTAGTTCCTAGGAGGGGGTTGTCAATCTATCTCTGCTTTCTAATTTCTTCCTTGTCTGTATACCAGCCGTTTTCTTCCTCACAGTACTCTATTTCTCTATTGTGTCTGGCCATTCACTGCAGTGTCACACAGAACTCACAGACTATACTTATGGTTGTATGGTTTATTAGGGTAAAGGATACAACTCAGGAGTAACTCAGCAACATGAAGAGGCACTTGGGTGAGGTTTGGAAAGGTTTCTGAAGCAGAGAATACGTTTCTCCAGGGAACTCTCCTTCAACAAGTATCTCCCTCAGGAGGCTTCTTTGAGCCTCAGTGTTTTGGGCTTTGTCAGCCCACACATTTACTATTTGTTACTAGGTTTCCCGGACCAGCTCCTACTCACTACAAACCCTCAGGCCAATGTAACCCAATTATTCTAAGCATTGTTTCACAGAGACAAAGGTCAAACTATTTGAAGTAACCCCTCCCCCCCCCAAAAAAACCAAAAACAAAACAAAAACCAAACTCATTGCCATCAAGTCGATTCTGTCTCATAAAGACCTCCATTGGGTTTCCAAGGCTGTAAATTTTTACAGAAGCAGAGTGCCTCATGTTTGTTGTGTGGGGTGGCTGGTGGGTTAGAACCACCGTCTTTTTGGTTAACAACCAAATGCCTTACCCACTATACCAGCAGAACTCCTTATCTGAGGTAAAGCAACTCTTAAACATTACAGATGCCATTGCTATTAATTTTGAATTATGCAAAATAATACACTATTGTACTCTTATTTACAAATATTTATATATGTAATAAAGTATAAAAAACATGGTTGAAAATAACCACTAAATTCAGAGAAGTGGCTCCCTCTAGGGAAGGCAGAAAGGAAGGAAATGGGACCAGGGGGAAGTACACAGGGCCTCCATTTATATCTGTAATATTTTATTTTCTTTGTTTTTTTCTGAGTACTGAGTGGTGGGTACACATGTTTATTATATTACTATCTATGTATTTCTTACATATGTAAAATATTTCTTAGCTTTAAAAAGAAGTTTTCTCAGCCCAATTACCAATAGTGTTCTGATTACCTAGTGCCACTCTGACAAGAATATACCACAAATGGGATGGCCTTAACAAACAGGAGTTTATTCTTACAATTTGGAGGCTTCAAGTCCACATTCAGAGTGCCAGGCTCTAGGGGCTGGGAAAAAGCTCCTCAACCTTAGGGTCCACCTCTGCCTCCTGCTCCTGGCCCACTGCAGCTAGAGGTGTTTCCTCACTCAGACAGCTGCTGGCTACTGAGGCTGAGAAGCCCAAGTTTGACAAGTAAAAAGGCACAGTCCCGATGTTTCCAAACCACATGGCAGGCCATTAATTTAAGTCTATTGTAAGTCTCAAGGTCGGCAGAGCACGACAGGCTGCTGAACAATGACACGGCTACCTCCAGGGTCCAAGTGTGCCATAGGCTAGAGACCATTCCCAAAGCTGCTGCTTATATACAGGAAGCAGACCACATACCCAATCAGCTACTCAACTTTTCCCAGTAGATTCCACCATGGAGTTGATTGCCAGTCTCATCATGGGGAATACTGCATCCAGCTGCCTAGCCACTCAACCAGGCCCAGCCAAGTTGACACACAAACATAACCACCGCGTATAGACATGCTGAAGGGTAAATCTGAAGTTTCTCTCCATTTGCTCCAGGTCCATCTGGGAATTTTTTTGGTAGATGTAACTCTCTCCAGGAGTCCCTGGGTGGTACACATGTTTGAAGTGCTTGGTTACTAATCAAAAGATTGCCAGTTCAAGCCCATGAAAAGACACCTCAAAAGATAAGCCTGGTGTGAAAAATTGACCATTGAAAACACTGTGAGCACAATTCTACTTTGATGCACAGGGGGTCAACATGAATCAGAATTGACTTGACGGCAACTAGAGATGGCAGACCATCTCGAAATGGGCTGTTCTCCAAATGGCTGGTCTGGCCCCTCACAGATATGGTAACCTTCATTTTTGAACCAAAAATCTTAACCTATCTTTTCTCTAATTTGTGGATTCTTTGGGACACAGATATACTGTTAGGGATGCAAAATAAAGTCAGTAGGAGAAACGAAACAGAAACTCTGGCCAATTCCCCACATACACAATTTCTGGAGCCTTCCTTCCACCCTATCCCTTCTTTGGGCATTACTGGCGTTTCTTCTAAGTGCTGGCTAGTGGCCACAGCCATCCTCCTGACAGCCTTTTGATAAGAACACGAACCAACAGTATCAAGTATATCTCTTTGCCACATCATGGTGAAAATATCTCCCTTTCCTTGCCCTGCCTGCCGGGTCTCAATGAAAGTTGCCCTCCAACTGACTTTCTCTTTTAACACAGACAGCCACAGCTCTGTTCGTCTTGTAAACTATCTGCCCTGAAGTGGGAAAGTCCCCCTGCCACCGGGAATTGCTTTACTTTCTTTTACTGGACAATGAGGCCATGCCGCAGTTGATTCAGCTTTTTTTACGTACTTTCTCTTTATAAGTCCTGTCTTCCTTGGAATTTGGTCCGAGCCCAGTCTAAGTGACATACGCTGCTTTGGCCTTGAGCGTCCTGCTCTCTATTATATAGTCTTGCCCTTAACTGAGCCTGTGAACCTCAACTCTCAGCCCTGCAGTGGTGAGTACCTTCTCTGGCTGGCATATATGGCTTATACTGGGGAATAAGTTCAGGGATAGCTTTCCTCCCTTACATCATGCTTATTTCTACATTATATAATTCAACTTAATTTTTAAAAATCTCATCAAATGGAGACTTTTGTGAGAAAATCCTAAGTGTATGTTTACTGTAGTATTTATCAGTCAGGAGTCCCCAGGTGGCACCAACGGTCAAGCACTTGATGACTTAATGAATGGTTGGCAGTTCAAACCCACCCAGAGATCCTCTGGGTGGATCAGACCTGGGGATCTGCTTACAAAAGGTCGCACAACCTTGGAAACCTTCTGGAACAGTTTTACTCTGTACACATGAGGTCATCATGAGTTGGAATTGACTCAACTAACAACGATAACATTCATCAGTTGGGAGCAGTGGTGGTTTAGTGGTAGAATTCTTGCCTCCTATGCAGGTGACCCAGGTTTGATTCCTGGCCAAAGCATCTCATGTACAGTCACCATATGTCTATCGGTGAAGGCTTATGTGTTGCTGTGATGCTGAACATGTTTCATCACAGCTTTCAGACGATGGCAGAGTAGGAAGAGGGCCTGGTGATCTACTTACAAAAATCAGCCAAGGAAAATAATATGGATAAAAATGGTCCAGTCTGCAGCTGATCATGGAAATTGTGCAGGAGTAGACAGCATTTTGTTCAATGTACTGAGGTCACCATGAATCAGGGCCAACATGATAGCAGCTAAGAACAACAACATATATCAGTTAGGCTCTGAGCAGGAATCAGGTAGCACTCCTGAAAGGGTTTAACTGATAAGAATTTAATGGAAAGACTGTTAACAGAGAACTATACCCACTCCTCATTTATCAACATGGTTAGGTTCTGAAGACCAGGTTGTTATGTAAAAATTGGCATTATACAGAAATGGAGAGTGACCACATCAGATCACAAAATGGAGGATAACTACATCATTACAAACACACAAACAAACCCACTGCCATTGAGTCGATTCCAACTCATAGTGACCCCCATTGGGTTTCCAAGGCTGTAAAACTTTATAGAAGAACATTGCCTTGTCTTCCTTCCATGGAACATCTGGGGGATTTGAACCACTGATTTTCTGGTTGGCAGCCAAATGCCTTAACCACTACACCACCAGAGCTCCTTGCATCATTATATAACTACCAAATTACATCATTATTTAACTACCAAATTACATCATTATATAACTGCCAAATTACATCATTACATAACTGCCAAACCACTGAGAATTTTGGTCCAGCCTGGTTGACACACAGTCTTAACTATCCCAGCTAGCGTTACTCTCATCTCACATCTCGGCATTCATTATTGTCGGATATATGTCATTAATGTGCAAAATAGTTGGATAGTAGATTTTTTACTGTGGTTGTCAGTGAAATTTGGAAAATGAGATAATCGATAAGTGAGGAGTGGGTATACAGGACTATGGGAGATGAGGCATCCAGGGTTGAGCAACAGCTGGTAATTGTTAACATTCCTAAGCCTGTGGGACAAGAGAAAGCAAAGATGTTATCGTAGCCCTGTGCCACCTGGAGCCCTGAAGAGGGGCCACTCAGCAGCAGCTGTGGCCCTAGAGGAACACAGCCACCACCTACCCACAGCTTAGCAGGCAGGGAATAGGGGAATAAATACCCTGAGGTCTCTCTTCTACCATCCACCAGTCATCTGCTGTTGCTTCCCATTGATTGAATTCATACTGGCCACCAGAAGCCAGGGATCCAGGTGATGCGTTCCATGGAGGTCACTTTCCCGTGCCATGACCAGGCAGAGAAGGGCAAGGAGTACATGTAAAACGGCAAACAGAGAATAACCAGCACCTTGTATATTTTTATGAGCATTTGCCATGTGACTTAAAAGACCTAGGACAAAGAAGGGTCCCATTTGATTCAACCTATAACAGTTTTGGGGCAACTTGGGCTATGTTTTGGAATGAATGGTGGATTCAGAGACTTAGATGGGCACTCCAGGATGAGAGTCTGGGAGGAAAAGGAACTGATATTTATGCTTTGCGTCAGATGCTTTGTTATATACTTTTAAAATGAAGTTCTTTTGAGTAAGACTTGGGGATTGGCTATTTATCATGCCTTAAATACTTTGCAACCCAGAGAATAAAATATCTATCTTAAAACAATTGAGTTTAGTGGTGTGAGGTTGAGACCTGGTCCCAGCCCAATCCATGCTGAACACACTGTGTTGACCTCAAGTGCCCTGATGGATAAGTGAAGATGAGGATGTCCTTGGCTGAAGCTAATATTTCTCCTGGTTCTACCTTTATCTCTGTTACTTGCTACCCTCACTCTAAGTCTCTCTTGAGCACATCTCAGTTCCCGTGAAACCAAACTAAGCCAAACTCACTGCTGTTGAGTCGGTTCTTACAGTAACTTCTTTTTGGATTTTCAAGGTGGTATCTCTACAAAAGTAAATTGCCCAGTCTTCCTTCCGAGGAGTGGCTAGTGGGTTTGAACCACCAGCTTTCTGGTTAGCAGTCGGATGCCTTAGGCACTACGCTACCAGTGAAGGCTGTGATAAATGTTAAAGAGAGGCAGCCTTGACTGAGTGGCCCAGTATTGTGGAGACAAGATCTTTTAATACAGCAGCAAGGTACTGAGAATGAAGAAAATAACATTTCCAAACTCGTGACGGTAATAGAGACTGCCCTTGAGAATTCCCAATCCAATATATGAATTGGGATGTATACACCAAAAAGGGACATGTGGAAAGCAACATTATCAACAAGTTTACACTCTGCAAACAAAATGTGCACTTGTTAAAGGACAGAAGAATGAAGCCATTAACGTTGTTGGACTTTGGAAGCAGAGAATCCCTGTTCTATTACATAGTAGTTGTATGACCTTGGATAAATCACTTGACCTCTCTCAGTAGGCCTCAGTTTTCTCATCTGTAAAATGGGCAAAATACAGGTATATACCTCACTTGGTGATTGGAAAGGCTGCATGGGATCATCTATGTGAAATGCAGTGCCTAGCACATGATACATTCTCAGTAAATATTGGCTATCAACAACATCATTATCATTCATGAAGGTGAGTACCAAATACTGCTTGGAAAGAAGAGTAAGAAATTCCAGAAGACTTGGCACCTCCTTGACTTCCTTAATTATCTATTTTATTACTCTTTTCCAGCTAACCACACAGAGACCTTAATTCTTTGACTTACACTCATGTCCTATTAAGGGTGGGTGTCCAGGGCTGCTTATGGACCTGGCTATCTACTTGGTCCACTCTACATGGGGAATCATGAAATGTTCAGGAGGAAAGCAATCTGAAGAAGTCATCTATTCTAATACAGTAAGTCCCCAGTTATGAACATCTGACTTACGGACAACTGAGACTTGCTCTTTGTTTTTTTAAACTTTTACTGTGATTTTGTGAAAGTTTATGGAGCAAATCAGTTTTCCATTAAAAAATTCATGCACTTTTTCTTTCACGTCATTGATTGCAATCCCCTCAAAGTAACATCACTCATCTCACTTCCTCCCTATGTCTCTCATTTCCATTCCTCCTTCTCTCTTAACTCTTCCTGCCTTCTGAACTTTGTCCTTGGGCAAATGCTACCCATTTGATCTCGAATGCTTGATTGTTTTAAGGAGTGTGCACCTCCCTAAAGTTATTCACCTTTTAGGCTTGTCTATAGTTTGGCTGAAAATTGAGCCATGGGAGTTAGTTTAGTTCCAGGTCTGAGTGGTAACTAAGGGCCATAGCCTCAGAGATTCCACTGATCTCTATCTGACCAGCAAGCCTTGTGTTTTTCATACTTAACCCTTTAATATTAGGTAAATTTGCCCTCACTTTGAAACAATTGAACAAACCCTACCAAACCACACGCAGATTCACTGCTATCAAGTTGATTTTGACTCATATCAACCCTATAGGATAAAGTAGAACTGCCCCATAGAGTTTCTCCAAGGGTGTAAGTCTGTAAGGAAGCAGAATGCCTCCTCTTTCTCCCATGCTGCAGCTGGCGGGTTCAAACCGCTGACCCTTTGGTTAGCAACTGAATGCTTTAACTACTGCACCAGCGGAACTCCTCAAACCAGCCCCTACCCAAACCAAACTCACTGCTGTGGAGTCAGATCTGACTCATACTGACCCCTCCTTGGGTTTCTGAGGTGGTATCTCTACGGAAGTAGATTCCCCAACCTTCCTTCCAAGGAGTGGCTGTTGGGTTTGAGTCACCAGCCTTCTGATTAGCAGCCTTCTGATTAGGCACTATGCCACCAGAGCTCCAGAACCAGCCCCTACTCACAGCAAATTCTACATCACAATCACCTTTACTTGCTGCGCATGCAGCTTTTAAATCATTGAAAAGGCTTCCAGACTTTTCTTGCGTGGAAGAAAGGCTAGCCTTATGAAACTGTTTCGACTTACCTCCAAATTCAACTTAAAGACACACTTAGGAATGGATCTCATTCATAACCTGGGAACTGCCTGTTTTTCCCAAACTGTGTTTGAAAGAACACCATGTTCTTATGAAAGTCGTTGGATGAACCGTTCTGTGGTTAAAGAGATTTAAGCAACATTCTCTCATCTCCCTTACCTTACTCCCATACAGACTGTAGTGCAAAACTGGTTTCACATTGTCTAAATGAGCATTCCCTCAATTTATTTATCTAAAGAGTTGCTTTTTCATGGAATAGCCTGCAGAACTAGTGTTTTAAGGCTCATATCAGTAAGAATTTGTGTTTGGCTACCTGGAATAGAAACCTAACTACAGTGGCTCTGTCAACTAGCATTCTTTACTTTTTCTTATATGATAAGAAGTCCGGTACAGACAGTTTAGAATTGATATAACAGCTCCACAGTGCCACCAGGGACCCAAACTCCTTCTATCTTTCTGCTTCAGGTTTCCTTAGAGTAAGACTTTGTGTCCATTGCCTCTTGGTTACAAAATGACTGCATAGCCCTTATTTTCAAGTCTGCATTCTAGGCGGGAAGAAAGAGAAGGATAAAATACAAAAAGTATATGCCAGCTAATTCTGCTCTTTCTAACAAGTGTTTCTGAAATCCCTACCCCTAACCGGCCAAAGCTGTGCTTAATAGAGACCTCAAACTGCAGTGGAGTCTAGGGAAAAGCTGGAAATGTTGTAATTAGGCATGCTCTGCTTCAAACAAAAGCAAGGATCTGTTAGTATGGACAACCAAAAAAACCAAACACACTGCCATCGAGTCGGACCGGACTCATAGCGACCCCTCCTTGGGTTTCCAAGGGGGTATCACTACAGAAGTAGATTGTATCACTAAGGAAGTAGATTGCCCAACCTCCCTTCCGAGCCCCGTCTTCCTTCTATGGAGTGGTTGGTGGGTTTGAACTGCCAGCCGTCTGGTTAGCAGTCAAATGCCTTATGCACTGAGCCTCCAGAGCTCCTTTTTACAGGAAATATAAATTCTAAACCACAAGCCACTTTGACTCACAGTTCTTTTGTGGAAAGAAGATGCTATTAGTGCCCTGCCCAGATCCCTTACTGGCTATATGGGTGCTTCAGGCTAATGGCTTATACCTATGAGGATTGCCTTTGGAGTGTTGAACCTCCTCACCTAGAGGACTCTGAGAGTTACACCACTCCATCACTGTCCCTCCCTGTATCCTGTGGCCAATGCAGGACCAAGAAAGAGGGACAAAAATCCCACTGATTTCCCTCAACGGGGAAGATGTAATAGTGCAGTTCACGTTCCTGAGAGTATTGCCTCAATAAATAGCACACACATGAATAAGTTCCTGTCTCAGGCCCTGCTTCTAGGGAACTCACCTAAGATACCCTGGCTCAAAACAGGCTGCTGTTTTCTCCTCTCTGCTGGTTTAGATGGAGTCTCTGGGTGGTGCAGACAGTTAGCATGCTTGGCTGCTAACTGAAAGGTTGGCAGTTCTCAGTGTTTCAGAAACACTTGTTAGAAAGAGCAGAATTAGCTGGCATATACTTTTTTTTTTTTTTTTTGGTATTCAGGTTTTTATTGTGGGCCTCGGGGACTCAGCCGGGGGCCGCTCACAGCTTCTTCAGCCACTCCAGGCTGGGGCCCTGGGGGTCCTGAGGGTGGCTGGGCACGTCGGGCAGGTTGCCGTCATCTCGGAGGGGCACTGGGTAGGCGTAGGGGGTGGCCTTGTTGATCATGCTGGAGTACTTGGTGTAGGGGCTTAATGGGGGCAGAATTACAGCGAGACCCGCGATGGTGAAGGACACGACTAGCACCGGCTCCTTGGCCCAGGCATTCTTGAGGAAGACGGCGAGTCTAGTCGCCATCTTGGTCGCGGCGGCGGCGGCCAGCTGGCATATACTTTTTGTATTTTGTCCTTCTCTTTCTTCCTGCCTAGAATGCACCACAGAAGATAGGCCTGGAAATCTGCTTCTTTTAAGATTATTGTTGTTGTTGTTATGTGTCATCGAGTTGGCCCCAACTCACAGCGACCCCTCCTTGGGTTTCCGAGGCAATATCACTACGGAAGTAGATTGCCCAACCTTCCTTCCGAGGAGTGGCTGGTGGGTTTGAACTGCCAGCCTTCTGGTTAGCAGTCAAGTGCCTTAGGTGCTATGCCATATGGAAGAGTTCTACTCTGCAACACATGGGGTCACCATGAATCAGAGTTGACTTGACAGCAACCAGCAACAATAATAGTCTCCCCTTTAAAGGCTGGAGAGTTGAGAGTCCACTGAGAAGAAAGGCCTGGTGATCTACTTTAGATAAACCAGCCATTGAAAACCCTGTGGTTCTACTCTGACACATGTAGGGTTGCCAAGAATTAGAATTGACTTGGACGGTCCAGTTGAATTGGACTTGGCCTTGGCCTACGTATTGTGGGGGCAGCTCTGCATTCCACTCTGGTGATCGGTGTGGGATCACTTCTTTCCATATCATGTCAAATATGTTTGAGGAAACCTCAGTACCAGCCATTTAGCAAGAGGAGTCCTCATTGCATCTTCTCAGGGCAGATATTCTTAGAAGCATTGATTTGCTTTCTTAAGCCTATGAAGGGACTTGTCATGTGTTGTGTGTGTGTGTGTGTGCATGTGTGTATTTTCCATCTTGTGGCAATGGCAGCCGTGTATTTATAGCTGGGTCTACGGGGCCATTCTCACGTGGCTAAAGAAAATGAAAACCTCATGTGGATTTTGTTTTGTTTTCCTTCTCTACCCTTGCCATTGCAAGTTCTCTGGTTCCTAAACCCTTGTTGTTGTAACCAGAGCCTCACTGAGCATAGCTAACGGGAGGGACCAGGAGGTTATGTAAATTTACTGTTTCAGGCAAAAGGACCTATTCTCCTTCAGTCAGGCGACAGGATCTAAGAGGAGACATTTTTTTGGGGGCAGGGCAGTACTATGGATGACACTAAATGCCAACCTCATCCACCCTCATGACCTTCTCTAGAAAGTCTCCCTGAATGAAGCCTATAGAGTGTCATTTCCTTAAATCATCTAAGGATCCCTCTGCATACATGAGTTTCTCTGAAAGAAAGCGATTTTCTTTGCCCTTTGTTTTTCTGTGTTCTTAAGTCTGTTATGCCTGTGTTTTGCCTCTTAGGTTAGACTGAGAACACTCTGGGGGCTGTGGTCTGTTTGCCCAGGTTACTAGAGCTTTTGCTGGGGGGTTGCTGGCATGTGGGGCAGCCAGGGGTGAGGGGGATGTTAACTTGGGCCCCTGCTTTCTCCAGGATGACTTAGAGCTCACAGAGTTCTCTAGACACTGAACCTGGTTGGTGTGGTTTGCCTGATCTTTACCAAGAATTGCTTTCTGCCTTTTTTTTTTTTCTTCTGGTTAAACCAAAACCATTTTATTATAATATCTCATGGCTCCATGAGTTGGCTAGGGCTCAGCTTGGTGGTTCTTCTGCTAGTCTGGCTTGGGTGTCTCATGCACTGGCAGTGGGATGGTGGCTGCAGCTGGATATCTGGTGTTTTGGTGTTCCTCCACGTGACCTCTTATTCTGTCTCCATGTAGTGATTCATCTTTCATGGCCTTTCCCTGTGGCCTTCTATCACACTAGCTAGTCCTTCTTGGTGACTTAGGGCTCCAAGGGGCAGAAAATAGAAGCTGCCAAGTTGCCTTCCTCTTCTTTTTTAAAGTAATATTTTATTATATTTTTGGTGAAAGTTTACATAGTGTAGATTCCCATTTGACAACTTCTAACTTGAAGACGTTGAAGGACTTATGACCCTGCATGCCCTCTACTGTTCTCTCTAGTGGATCAGGAACCCACATATTCACAGTTTGGATTTAAGCATCTAGGGTGACAGAGGGTCTGTGGACAGGGTGTGAAGTAGGGTGATATAACTCAAGCTTGCTAGAACATACAAAGATCTTTTAGGAGCATAAAGAAGGAGGGTGCTTGAAGGTTAGCTGCCATTAACCCAGAAAGCTGTCTTCCCAATTCCTGGCCATCCCATGACTGTTAGATCTCGTGAAGTTGGTCCACTACACTGAGGTCTTAAGAAATTCCTACTCTCCAAAGTTGCCATACAATGCCTACCGTTTACTGAGGTCCTAAAAATTAGCTGTTGAAAACCATATAAAGCACAGTTCTATTTTGGGACATCATATGGGGCTACCATACCTCAGAACTGACTCAACACCACTTGGGTTTGTGTTTCGTTTTTGGATTCATGGGTGGCACAAACGGTTAATGTACTTGGCTGCTAACTGAAAGGTTGGGGCTCAAGTCCACCCAGAGATAGCTCAGTAGAAAGACCTGGCCATCTACTGAAGAAAAATCAGCCAGTGAAAACCCTATGGATCCCAGTCCTAACACACTGGGGTTGCCATGAATTTGCAGTTCTCTTGATGGCAACGGTTTTTTTTTTTTTTTTAGTGAGAGCCCACTATGTGTCCGGTATTTACACACTTTAACACATCTTATTCTTACAATATCGCTGCAAAATGAGTGTTATCCCATTTTATTGAAGAAGAACTGAGGTTCTGAGCATTTGGACAACTTGGCTGAAGTCATGTAGCCAGTTAGCATCAGCCACTACCACTGCCATCAAGTCGGATCCGACTCATAGAGACCCCTCCTTGGGTTTCCAAGGCAGTATCACTACAGAAGTAAATTGCCCAACCTTCCTTCTGAGGAGTGGCTGGTGGGTTTGAACCGCCAGCCTTCTGGTTAGCAGTCAAGTGCCTTAGGCACTATACCATCAGAGGC